TAACTCTTATTGTTAGTTAATGTATTTCTTCTTATCATAAGAAAAAAGGGTAACACATAGTTGTAGTGCAGTTCACTTTGTTTATGTGTGATATGAACATTTCAATATAATTATTAGTTAAAATACTTTCTTTATAGTTTAAATATGCCTTTTTATCTATAAAAAATTACAAATGCAAATAGGGGACACTGGCATTTCAAAGATTATTTGAGCTTTAACATGTTGTAAACAATCTAAAATACGCTATTTGTAAAGAAATAAGGAAAGTAATAATTCCCTTGAATTGATATCTCTATAAGGGTTTTCTTCACAATTTTAGTTAAATTTTAGTCTGATATATTAAAAGCTAATAAACAATTTTTATGTTNATACATATTTTATGGTAGGTAATGCTAATTACAACAATAAATAGCAGCTACTAACTTTAATTGGGAATGCAATGTAGTTTTAATTATTTTTTATATAAGAAAACAAATAACTTTCCAATAGTGGGTAATCTAAAATCTGATGTCGTATGGGCACAGTATTATTATTTGAAAATTACGTAAATCATGATACAGGCGGTTTTCAGTACAATAATTGAAAACACATTATGTATGTATTACGTTTTCGTAATAGGTCACCTCATCATCATCATAGGGGCGTCAGTCGTAAGACTGGTTGGACACGTACCTCCACTTTTTCCTATCCTGAGCTAAACTTCGCATTTCCCTAAAACTAGAACAGCCCACATCCTTAACTATTTGCGAACAGTAATTTAATCTAGGTCTACCTCTACCCTTCCTAACTCCTGTTTCTGCCTCTAATATGTCTCTAACTAGACCATCAAGCCTGAGAAGGTGTCCTACTAATCTATCTCGCCTATTTCTTATTGACTTCCATAGAGTCCTCTGTTCTCCTATTCTTTCTAATTTCTAACCTTCTCTATCCACGATATCCTCATCATCCGCCTATAACACCACATTGGTAAATATTTTTAATCAGAAAATAGAAAGCAAACCCCTTTCTAAAATTTGTTTAACGTAGTTCAGGGCACATCTGTACTTGAAGTTCAGTCGCTGACAGTAATAAAATTAATACTTTAAAATAAAATTGCTTTTGAATTTTTTAGAGAATAAGTATCCTACATTACCTACATTTGCTTCGGTTTTTGAAACCTTCATAATTATGCGCTACTACTACCGCAGTAGTATTGTCATAAAATTTTTTCATTAATCTCCAGGCTTTCCATTTCCGCTGAGATTAGATTAATTTAGTTGGTCAAAATAATCAATATTATTTATCATAATTGTTACATCAATATGAAGCAGTGTTGACGTTTTATCTTCTCTTCGTGTTTTAGTTATCTTTTTACTTGTAAAGTTAATACGTATATGTATATTGTATTCTTTTATAGGGTTTATTTGAGAGTGGTTTTGGAGGGTTTAAATTAGCACGAGAGATAGACGGCGAGACAAGGTTTCAACTACATTAAATTATTCGTTCTTTTTGATGTATTTCTTGGAAATGACTAATCGCATTTAAAATTGAAAACGTAGATGTCTGGTTTTTAGAAATTCTGCAAAATTATTCATGTAGTATAATTACATCGCTGTATAGACTTTAATGGACAGTAGAAATTATTTTGTTGGTGCTAAAAACTGGTAATATAAATAATAAGTCACTTTTATGCTCGCGAACGGTTAATTTAGAAATTTGAAAAAGGTTGTTAAAGATGTATGTTTGGCGCGCGGCGCTGTATGGGTGCGAAATATGAACAGTGGGCGCCGCGGAAAAGGAATGGTTACAAGCGTTCGAAATGTGGTGTTACAGGCGAATGATAATAGAGAAGGTTAAAAATGAAGAGGTATTAGAAAGAATAGAAGAACAGAGGACTGTATAGAAGTCAATAAGAAATAGACGAGATAGGTAAGTAGGACACCTTCTCGGGAATGAAGGTCTAGTCAGAGACATATTAGAGGCAGAAACAGGAGTTAGGAGGGGTAGTGGGTAGACATAGGTTAGATTACTGTTTCCAGAAAACCGGTTTCGAATTTTTATAAAAAAATTTTTTGCTCGAATATTCTGTAATTCGAACAAAAAATTTTAACAGAAAATTTAGAGTGATTAAAAGCGGTTTTTGACTGAAATTATTTACTGAACACTGAATTTATGAACTGTACATAAAGAAACCAGAAGACAAACTGATATAAAATCTAAATTAATTCATCTAATAGACAAAACACACCAAACCGCTTGCGACCTATATGATTCCAAGAACCAAACTGCTTACAACAGTGTTTTCATCAATCTGGTACATTTAGCTACATTTGTCATTTTCAAATTTTTTTTAAGTGTTATTCATACATTGAAAACCGATATTTTCTACTAAAAAACCGGTTTTCGAATTTCATAATTTTCTCCAAAAAACCGGTTTTTAAAAACCGACAAACCCTAGTTTATACAAAAGATTTTCAGAGTTCGGTTGGTTAATGGTAGTTCTCAGAGATAGACGAAAAAAAAAATATTCCACGCATTTTCGGTTGTGCGACAAAAAGAAAAAATGCTGACACTGAAATGTGTATGTTCCATGTTCACTACATATTTTGCCTTACCTGTATAAAGGTTTATTTTTGAAAACATCACCCGCACTTCTGAAAACTGTCGTGAACCAATCGAACTCTCAAAATCATTTGAACAAAGCGTAATACCCCTTTAAAAACATTAAATTGCATTTATTGGACTTACATATTACTTTATTATTTATATGAATAAAAAGATGGCATTTGAACGAATTTTAATGTACCACGTCGTATTTTTCAAAATATGATGCCGTTGATATCCGTAAGGTCGGTTCTGAATTCGCTATTAGTGTATAATGAAAGGAAAATTTTATGGCAACTGGTTTATTTGCTTGTTCGTTTCTAACTTAGAACATAATATTTAATCTAGTGTATTTGTTTCGATAATATAACAAACAAAGCAAGGGAAAAATTCATTTTCATTTCAGTTTGAAATTAATTGAAAGAGAAATATGCCTTAAAAGAGTCAATACATTTTCAGTAATACATATCTCTTGAGAGTGCAATATTTATATTTTCGATAAAATTCTAATTTATTTGAAGTCCTTCAAACGAAGCGATCACTTTTTAATTTATTTCACTTACCGTCTCCAGGTGTTTCCTACTAATTTATACTTAGAATACATAAGGATTTTTAGGTATATACATATGTTTTATTACTATATCAAGGTTCAAATTTCTTCGATATTTTCTACTTCATTCAAGTTCTCCTTTCTTGATGGAGTATTTTCATATTTTGACTCTTTCATCTGGAAATTATTTATATTTTGATATTAAAAACTTCATTATTTAATAGATAAAATACGATTTTAATTGTTAATTTCATATTACTGCTTCAGTTAATAAATACTTTGCATGAACCATTTGAATTAATTATTTATTGTACAAAAGACCAGGAAAAGAAGCATTTTGTAACAAATAACATTTTTAAGGATCTACGACATTTACAAAACTGCCAGACGAATTTATGGGTAGAAAAGATATACTTGGTTATGTTCAACATTGTTGTTAATATTGCTTATTTTTGAATATAAAATTTTGCATGCGAAATTGTTTTCTGTAGAATATTTACTACTCCAGTATTACTGTTTTTGTACGTGGTCTACCGACTTCGTTCGCGTTTTCGTTTTTTCCTACTACAAACTTTTGATCCAATCCTTTCGCGACATTCACCCGAAGATTGCCGTAAGAAAAGACAACACGAACGAAGTGAGTGTTATCATGGTCAAGTCGTTCGAGACCTTCACCTTTACTATTTTCTCAAAATTACGTGTTTTTTGTATATTTTTACTTATATGTAGGTAGATTGTATATTAAAGTATTGATGTATCACCGCTAGAGGCAGAGGTAGACTGAATATCAAAGTAGCACAGATTTTCATTTACAGTTATTTTGGATTACCATTCTACTATATAAAAATTTGGATATTGGAATTTTAAGAAATAATGCGATTTTTTTTTAGATTATATTGCTTGTTTTTATTCATAAATCATTATGCCTAGGCAGTTTGTCACCCTATTCCTCCTCATATGGTAACTGCCACAGTTTTATTAATAAAATTTTCACGTTGTTTTTATCATTTTTAATATTCGAGAATTTTATTATACGCGTTGCAGCACATGTAGAAAGAAATATTTACACAAAAAATAGAGGTATGCTTATACTTTTGAATGTTTGAAGTTCCTCACAAATAAAAATTTTTATGCAAATATTAGAGAAAATTCTGTTGACTCTTTTTCAGTGATTTTTGTTTTATTCGTTTCGAAATACAAACAAAAATATGCCTTAAAAAAGTCAGTATATTTTCAGCAATACATATCTCTTGAGGTCGATGACTTTTTAACTTTTAATTTTAAAAAATGATTTGGTAAATGTCTAAATGATGGTCCCCACCCCCAAGGGGTGGGTGGGATCGAAAGAGGAGGTCTCCCTCACCACTGTACCATAAAAAGTTCGTGGCGGTCTCACCCCCATAAAAAGTTATGGGGGTTGAAAGTTGATTATTTTGTCAATTTTCATACACTATTTTCAAGCGGGTGGAGGTGGGGGATCGAAAGAGGGTGGTCACTTGAACAAAACCCGATAATCTAACCTAACCTAACCTAACCTACCCTATTGATAAAGATATTTAAATAATGTTTTATATAACTTTCTCAATATTTTTATGTATTTTTCATTAGTTTTACCTTTGAATATTGTTTAAGAATGACTATATAAATATTTACATGCCTAGAAATGTATAAAAATTGGCATATTTATTAACTTTGAACCCTCATAACTTTTTATGGGGGTGAGACCGCCACGAACTTTTTATGGTACAGTGGTGGGGGAGACCTCCTCTTTCGATCCCCATCATCTAGACCTTCACCAATTATTTTTTTTGAGAATGTTTGTTTTTATTTATAAATTATTGTACCGGCAATCCATCACCCCTTCTTCATCTCATAGTACCTGCTACAGTTTTATTAACAAAATTTTCACATTCTTTTTATCATTTTTAATACACGTGAATTTAGTTTTTTATCTTATTGTACGCGTTGTAGCACATGTAGAAAGAAATATTTACACAGAATATCATCATTTATATTTTACATAAGATAATGCTTTATTAAACTTAACTAGATACTACATAATAATTATGAATAAATAATATTCACGAGAGTTAAAGGCTGTCGACGATTCGTCTGATGAACGATTTATTTTAATTGGCTTTCTGATCGAGTTTAGTGGAGGGGTGGTTATACCTATCAACCTATTTGCATATATATATGAGATATTAATTTCGTGTGTTTCTGTTAATTTCTTGTGTGTATTAATACGTTACAGTGCGAGAGGTGTTTATTGATTGCTTTGTTAATAAAATAAAGGAAAAATGGATAGAAAATTTTATGGATCTGTTAATATTGATAACAATGTGAGTTACAAAACGATTTTTTTTGTTTGATATTTGCGATAGACAACAATAAGACAAAATCCGTTAATCTCAATATAAAGTATTTAAAATAAACCCCTCAACATTAAATAACTGTGTACTCCGAGGACTATTTAGTATACAAAATTAATAAGTCAAAAATTTCGAGTTAATTTTGATTTGTAGCTAATTTAAGATCAATTAATCTTAAAGTTGATGAAAAGTAGTTAACAAGTTTCATTAATCGTAAAGCATTTTTTATAAATATCGAATATAGAAGCAATCCCATTTTTTTGACCGTAACATATATGGTAACTTCATATTTCCGGCTACGTATAGGCGCCTTTATAAATATATGTACATATGTATGTCAAATATTTTTGCTGTGTTATCTTTAGTGGAAAACTTTGTCAATTCATATATGTACATGTGTATTTACTGTTCATTTCGACCCAGAATTGTTTTTAATCGAAAAATTTCTGAAGTTGACACAACTATAAGACATTTCACTATAAATAAATAATAATCTATTGTGTTGTTAACATTGTAAATGATATTTTAGATTCACGTTTATGAAGTGATTATATAATTTTTATTTCTTTCGCTAAAATGAATATAAAATTCTACTTTTTTTTTCTTCACAGAATTAATTTTTATTTAAAATTATTTACAAATTCATTGATGTATTTGCTGTTTAATTAAATTATATAAATCTAACGAGAGTTATGAAAAAACAACTTATTTATTTAATTTTAAAATGAAATTCATATGTAAGATATTTTAGATATACATAACAATTAGGTAGTTATTTACTGTTTGTTATGCAAAACTAAATTTTACTGATTAAATTTTGAATTTTTTCGGTTTTATTTTATTTCTTTTTTTATCCGTTATTATAGCTTCACTATATCAAATTTAATTTATCTTATAGGCAACTATTCTAATTAACGTAAGATTAAAAAAGTAACTTTTTTCGCGCTTAATGTAACTCGAAATAATTCCTTCAGATTATCTGCTTGGTAAAAAAGTACTTTATGTATCATATTTTGACTCACGAATGCAATGAGTGTCATGTTCCAAGGTACACGACGTAATAAAACTCTGTGTAATGTAATATTAGTATGTTGTGACATTAACATTAATTTTTAAGTGACAATTTTATTTACTTTCTCTTCAAAAAATGATCACCAAACGTATAAAATTTGTTACAATCTGTAAAATGTCGTAATCACGATAAAACACTATTTGCAAATAAAGGTCAACTCAAATATTACGACCTTCACATACCAAAGTTTGTTTATTTAGGGGTGAATTAAGCAGAATGTATACATGTACGAATGAGATGTTAATAGATAGGAAAGATTACTATTTCACATCGATAGTTTTTACAGTTGTTATACTAGTGTAGATAGTATAAGAAATACTAAAAATACTACTTATTGAGAATTTCTAATAATATAACTTAAATAAAAAGTATTGTTTACTTATTTTATTTTTGGCTCATCATATTAGATTTAGCGTTGTATTTTTAGGATGAATGATTATGTTAAAAATTATAAAAGATTAAAATATTCGATTTGTATCGATTTTCAAATTCGGCTTTTTCCAGGGATTTCAGTTTAAATGTTGATTAAATTTTAAAGGTAAAACGACGGGACATGAATCCTAAGCCGCATGAGTTGCTAAAAACAGGAAGCATTCCCATTTATTTGTATCTTAAATGTTTAACTTTGCGCATACGAAGGTACGAATTGTTTTAATTTGCAACCACTGTGTTTCTTTTGGAATATTTTGAATTAATTTTTGTTTTTGGATGAATTTTAAATAATAATGGTTTTATTTCAACATAATTTTATTTTCAGAATACTCGTGAGAAAACAAAAAAGGGAACAATGAAGGACGAAAAGAGGCCGTTATTAGATAATGAGTCTCAAAGTGATTCTACAGAACCCCCTGCAGTCCAAGACACCATCGTCGATATCACTAAACCCCTACACAGTGTGGTTTCATCGTATAAAATGGAAGTAGAAGACCCTGTTTTGAACAGGAGCTTGGAACATCCTACTTCAAATTTAGACACGATGATACATTTACTGAAAGGGAATGTAGGCACCGGGATTTTGGCAATGCCAGACGCTTTTCGAAACGCAGGGTGGGCTGTGGGAACAGTAGGTACCCTTTTAATGGGTATCATTTGTACCCATTGCATGCATATGCTTGTTAAATGTTCCCATGATTTGTGTAGAAGAACTAACACGGCTGCGTTGAATTTTGCTGAAGTATCTGAATATGCTTGCCAGTTAGGACCGGAACCTCTCAGAAAATATTCCCGTATATTCAAGTACGTCATTTTACAGCAAACAATAATAAAAAACGTAGATAATGTGTTATTACGTATTTTATGATCTATCACCACTTTATTTTATTGCAGGATCTCTATCAACTCTTTCCTCTGCATTACACAAATAGGTTTTTGTTGTGTATATTTTGTATTTGTGGCGGCGAACCTTCAGGAAGTAATTAAGCATTACATCGTTGATATAAGCGTTCATTGGTATTTAGTGTTTTTGCTACCACCAATGATTGTTTTAAATTGGTTAAAAAATCTGAAGTATTTGGCACCGGTGTCATTCTTTGCCTCCATATTAACTTGTACTGGTTTGGCAATTACATTTTTCTACATGTTACAAGGTCTACCAAACACTTCTTCCATTAAAGCGTCTACCAACTGGTCACAATTTGCGTTATTTTTTGGTACAGCGATTTACGCATTTGAGGGAATTGGTGTAGTAAGTACATAGTTATTAAACACTTAATTTTCTAATGAATATAAAAATCTTATAAAACTCCATAATAAAATAGCCTTGCAATCAAAACTTATCATAAGAAATTTAAAATAATTGTGCATAATAATCAATGTTGAAGTATTGTATTTTTAAAATTCTGATTATGTGATGACCTTATTTATGCATTTTCTGTCTTGCATTTATTGTAGGAAAAAATTATTGAAACCAAAATTAATTAAGACGTAAAATATTTGTAAATATTTTTTAATAGTATCAATTTTTTTATTTTTTTAGGTTCTTCCTTTAGAAAACAACATGAAAAGGCCGCAAGACTTCGGAGGATGGACCGGAGTTTTAAATACAGGAATGGTCATAGTTGCTTGTCTTTATACAGCGGTAGGATTTTTCGGTTATCTCAAATATGGTGATATGGCTCAGCTTGGAAGTGTTACCTTGTATTTACCGTCAAACGATATGTAAGTATTCGTTTTATTTTAATTATTCATTGTAGTTAATTATACAGCGTGGCAAGGCGGGCGACGCTTCATTCGGCTAGCATCGCAACTAGTCGGTTGTTAAAAGTGTACGGGGAAAGCCATTTCTTGTGTGGCGTGACGGAAGACGCTTCATTCGGACAGCTTCGTGGCTGGTCGACTCTTTCCGTCCTCCTTCAAGACTTAGCACTCCCCTCTACAAGAAGTTTTGTCGTTCCGTCTGTTACTCTCGTGTCAGGGATTCTTAAATTTTGATGTTTTACATCTGTCAATTATTATTTTTATTAAGCATATGTACATTATTAGTGTACTGTAGAAAAAAGATAAAACTTGTATTTTTTTTTGCAGATTGGCACAGTCGGTACGTCTCATGATGGCTATAGCCATATTTCTTTCATATGGGCTTCAGTTCTATGTTCCATTCAGTATCATTTGGCCTATAGTAAAAGACCATTTAGAGACGGAAAAGGCCCAAGTTTTGGGAGAATATATCACTCGTACAATTCTTGTCATCATAACTTTTGCCTTGGCCGCTGCCATTCCGAATTTGGGTGCAGTTATTTCTTTGGTTGGAGCATTTAGCAGTTCTGCATTGGCCCTCATTTTTCCACCCCTATTGGAAATACTAACCTTTTGGCCCGACAGGCTCGGTAAATATAAATGGATCTTCTGGAAAGATTTTTTTATAGCCGTTTTCGGTTTTCTGGGGTTCATATTAGGTTCTTATGTTAGTGTTTTAAATATCATCAGCCCCGAAGTTAATAACTAATAGGCAGAATCTGTTTTGATTTATTCCATTTTCATTTTCTGAAAATGAGTTCCAAGGGGAAGAAATGATGTAACAAAAAAGTTTCACGACTTATTTAATTGGATACGTATTATGAATGTTTTTTTTGCAAATTTTACCGCTAATTTAAAGATTTAGACTTTTGACAATAATTTAATGACTTATTAAGACAATAATTTATTTTTTATAAAGAAAAAGAGATTAATAACGTAGTATACTTTGCAGAAAGAAATAGCAAATTTAAAATAATTAATTAGCGGCATGTAGGTAGATATTCATTAAAAAAATGTAAAACTTCTAAGAATGTGAGGCATTTTTAAAAAGACATAGCCTTCATTTCCATTAAACATTCCACGGCGAATGTATGAGAACTGTGATATTTTTGTTGGTGCGTTTCGTTTTTTTTTTTATTTAAATTATTTATGTAGAAAATATTTTATATTTAAGTACCAACGAAATTAGTTAGTTACCGTTTACTGTTTTAAACTCTTTTAAGTTGTTACCAAAAAAAGAAAAACTAAAAGTCAAAACAAACACATATCATAAGCAAATACAGTATATAACAAATACGGAATTTGAGAGTATTCTATTTTCGGAATTCTCTCATAATTATCGACAATAAAATACCAAATTTTTAAAACGCCCAATTGTAGGTGTGCTACTACAAATTTGTGTTAAAAGTACGTTTTTAATGCAAAATTGCTACATGTTAGTAATATTAAACGACTGAAAGCAAACTTATAGCAAATAGTTACTAAAAAACCAAATACCTACATAGAAAATTAGAAAGATTTCTTATGGAATATATTTAGCTATATTTCATAAAAATGGATAGAACGCACACCTAATATTTACTTTTAAGTTTTCTACATACATTAGTAAGTAATGAAATATTTCAAACATTTTGAATTTACCTTTATCTTCTTGAAATGTCTTTTAAAAATATTTAAAATTACAATATTTTTGTTCAGCTTAGGTAAACCTTAATTTTTTTATGTACTATTATAACGATTACTACAACTGTCATTATTACCAAATAATTTGTGATCATTAGATTCTATAATTACTTAGGTTTTTTCTTATTTAAAGAAGGGTGAAAATGAGAAAAGTTCTTTAGAAATTAGAATTATTTCTATAAAAGTGTATAGTAATGTCTTTTTAATCCTTGATAAGTCAAGTCCCATCGGAAATTGTAATTTTATGAAGTAACTCGCCGTAAATGGCACATATATACACAAACTGCCTTATAAATAATATTTTATTACCCAATTAATTACTTCTACCATTTTAACGGGACTGCACAATTTCCAAATAGTACCTTACCTATTNATCTATCTGTAAATATATCTATACATAATATTAATTAAATGAAAGTTTGATCTCGAATTTCTATTTTCCGGAGTAGTTCGGAACTTCTAAAATGAAATCATAAATCAGTATTTTGTAACTTTATTGTATGTTAGTAGATATCTTGTAGATTTTTTTTATTGATGTTATTTTTGTTAAATTATACGTATATGCGAGAATAAAATTATTTATTAGCTAATGTTAGTTTAATTAGACAATGTAAACAGCTAGTGGTACAGAACATTTAATATGTCAATTGAAGATGAGAATTTTTGAAACAGTATCACTAATAAGAGTAACCCAATTGAGATCGAACAGAGTAGTTCTTTTTTGTTCTTATCTTTTAAAAACGACAGCGGCATTTTTGTATTTTAACAAAAAGAAAAACAAATTAGGCAAAACTTACATTTTATTATAAAAATACTAACACAAATATACAGTAAAATCTTTAGATTAACAGACAATTACACTTGTTAAAGTATTACTCATCATAATCAACAGATATAATACAAACCAATTAAAATTGAATATTATTTTTGATAAACGAAGCACTTTATATATTTTCAAATAATCTACTTATGATATATTGTACTTTGTTATATACAAATATGTGTTGTTGGATAACAAATAGAATTAAAAATGTAATACAACTAATAAATGAAAGAGACTCTGATTTACATCGCAGACTAAGGTCATCAGGGGATCTGAAAGGATGCAACCAGCTCTTCTTTATGTTCAATTTTAATATCACTTATTGCAGTAGTTGCTTTATTAACAATCGATGATATCTACAAAGAATACTCATTATTAGATTGTAAAAAGTGGATCAGCATGAGTAGTTTGCTGTGGGTTGTTTTCAGTTTCTTTAAGTAATAATCAAAGACCCATATTTTTAAAAATAATTAAACAGAAAGAAATATCGATATTAATTCTACTTTAAAAATTGCCTTTTTTGAAGTCTTAAATTAGAAAGTATCATAAATAAAAGCTATTTCACTTACTAGACTTATATCTGAGCTGCTAAGTGGGGCAGTCATAAGAACCTTTTCTGGTTGTGGAATATCTTGCAAAATAGATTTGTTGTTCTTTTGAGGCAATTTGTTTGCAGCACAAGCTTGTTGTAACTTTAATGAGTATTGTTTCATTCTATCTAAATATTCATGTTGTTGTAAATTGTGTGAATCTAATGCAGCTATATCAATAACATCTCTAAAAACAAAAAAAGGTTGAATTAAAATTGTTACCATATACATGTATCATCACTCTAAAACTCACGTTGCAGTTTCTTGAAGAATTCGGTTTAAAGCAGATTGCTCATCAGTCTTTTTAGGTAGAGAATTTGCATTTCTTATAAGATAATCATCACTGAAATAATGTATATACCGTTTTCAAATATTGTACTCATTGTATGTTGGCTTACGTACCAATTAATTTGGTGATTATTAATGCTATTTGATACAGGATTTACCAGAGGAGTTCTTTCACTTGGTTCTCCATTCTATTAAATGAAGTCGTTGTTAAATACACTTTAATTTACTAAGGATATACACTGAATTATTAATAATTACATACATAAATTTTAGATGCACATAACCTTACATTTATTGAAATAAAAATAATTCAGAATAAAACAGAACAAAGATACACCTGTATTATATAGTACACGATCATTGCAGCTATTTGTTTTTAACAATTTTGTCTTAGAATTTCGTTTACTTTTACCTGAGACGATGAGTCTTGATCACAAAAGTAACTATAACAGCAACCCATTTCACTTTGTTATTTAAATTTATAAACTTAATGTAAAAATTGCCTCTTCAAATAGATAAAGAATGCACATAGCGTTAAACAATAGTTTTGTATTCAAACATATAACTCAAAATAATAACTATTTTGCAGCTTTTTGATAACAAATTCGCCCACGCAACATATACAACTACAATTGACAACTACTTATTTACATAATTATTTGTCTCAACAATGTCCAAAGTTAATAAATATTTATCTTTAAACAACTTTAAAGAAAATACATTTTGTAAAGACAAATTGATTACTGCTTGATTTTTTTAAGTCTCAATTCAATTTTGAGTTAGGGTATATGCTGTTTTATTATTTCAAAAGAATATATAAAACATGTGTTACACAAATGTCATGTAAACACATCCAAAGATTAGCTAATTTGTATTTCCCGCGTTGCTCCGAGTGTTTGGCTGTTCTTTGTGGTTAGAGATGGATACCTTTGAAGAACAAATTTTAGATTTAACAGAAGAATTAAAGTTTCAATTAACTTGTAATACTTGGTAAGTTTGCAACTGGTAATCGTTATATCAAAAGTTTTAACTGTTTTAATTATTAATCAATTGTTTTATAGTTACGATGTTTCCAAGACTTTTGTTTTACCATGTAACCATAGTTTCTGTGAAAATTGTCTGAATAAAATGAAATATTGTTGTTCGGAATGTAAGCAGCCCTTTTCAGCACAAGATGCTGAAGAAGACTCATTCTCAAATGGAGTTTTAGAGCACTTAGAAGCCATAAAAGGAATACTTTCTGAATGTAGTGATACTGTTAATGAAAGTCAATGGAAGAAAATAAGTAAATAATTCATTATTAGCGTGAATATATATAACACACGTTATATGTTTTGTAGAACTACCTTGTGAGCTTTCTGGATATAAATTGGTGTTGAGATTTGAAATTAAAAAAAACCACAAAGGTGAAACTCCTTTGCATATTGCATGCAAGAAAAATAATGTGGAATATGTCTCTAGAATTATTAATAATGGAGTAGACATTAATACAAAAGACTATGCTGGATGGACACCATTGGTATGTGTATATAAAAGTATTTTGTTTTCTGAAATAGCTTAGTTGCTATAAAAAACCAAGAATAACAAACTTTCACTATACATACAACAAACTGTTCATTTAATTAAAAGTAACAATCATGCTTATGCCTATATAATGATATACCTATGACTATACCTAGTATTAGGGATACATTTGATGTACTAGTTTAATCATATCTTTGAGTGCAAGTTTTTTGATTTTTGATACATATTAATTATGAAGGTGCTTTAGTAATTTTGTAGGTGTGAAGTTTTCAGTTACTTTTCATATATGATAAAATTGTTTGGTAAGAAGGTTGAATATAAACCTCCATATGTACTGACAATTTAATTACTTTAAAGAAGCCATTAGCTGATGGGTGAAACATTAGTTGATTGAAAATAAAGATATTGTTACCTGAATGGAATTCTGAATAAATTATTTCATTAATTAACTAATTTCCTTCCTTTTGTGAATTATACTGAGGGGTTTTTAACAAGGTTTTAGTTATCTTGACCCTTCCTCAAAAAATTATATCATCATCATCATAAGATCATTAGTCCTAAGATTGGTTGGAAAAAAAAATTATATACATCTAAGAATTTATATTTCATATTAATTCAATTTAAACATAAAACAACTATTTAACAATTAACGTTACTTTATAATTTTTTACCTGTTTATTTATTTAACATGTTTAAATGATAGAAAACAATATTGCTATATTGAAAACCGGTTTGTAATCATTAATTTTAAAAATTCTAGCATGAAGCTGTAGTAGGCAAGAGTATTCAATGTGCTAACTCTTTACTAGAAGCCGGAGCTTTGCCGAGTGTCCCAGGAGAATGGTATATTACACCACTTCATAAAGCAGTTTCTATAAATAATAAAGAAATGATTGAATTATTATTACTTCATGGTGCAGATCCTCAAGCTGTGGATTATTCTGGAAAGACACCTATGTAAGATGTAAAGAAAAGTTTTTATACTAAAGTCGAACATCAAATTAAAATTACTTTGTTATTGAATCACACAAAGGTTGACTTTTATCGTAACAATTTCTAAGTAAACCCATTCAGCTATAAACAAGTTATAAAATATTACTTTAAATTTGATAAGAAGATAACTAAATAAGAGATATTTTTTGTTTATTAGTGATTGGTGTACTTCAAAAGAAACTGTTTCTATCCTGGAAAATAGGACACAAAAGTTAACTATCCCCCGCCGTTTGTATTTGTATCCGTGGCCGCAAGTTTTTCTGGATAAACGTATAGATAACAAATTTTCTGAAACATTAGATGTCCATTATAAAGATTTAGATGCACTCAAGAAAGGTCAAATAACACACTACGTTATAACGAATAGGGAATCAGAGGACCCTAAAATAAACCTGTTTCATTTGGCATTAGCAATAGTGCAAGGAGCCAGTGTAGTTACAGAAAAATGTAAGATATTTTATGAGCTTTCGATTAAATCATATTTATATACATAAATTGGTTTTATTTTTAAGGGTTGACCGATTTTCTTCTTACCCAGAACGATTACCTGGGATTTGGATATATTGTGAAAGAGAGAGAAGATACCATTAAAAGGTCAGTAATTAATAGAATAAAATGTAACCCAAAATTGTTTGATGGCATAAACTTCTCCTTTGGTGTTTCTAATAAATCTCATAAAATTATGAATATAAATTTTTCGAAAGATGATTTAATTGCTTTAGCAACTATTGGTGGAGGTAAAATATTAACTCGTGAACCCGCACTTAGAACTGTAGAAAATCAGTTCAATTATCCATTTCACGTTAATAAAAGTTCGGAGTTCGCAGGCTGTTGTAACTTCATTATTTATGATGAGAGTAGCCCTCCACAATTGTTGTACAATATGAAAGAACTGAAACACAAGTCTTCTACTTGGTTAATAGAGTGTATAATGAGTTTCTCAATAGTTTCATAAGTTTTATTCCTTTTAATATTTCATGATATATACTTTATTCGTCTATTTTGTGATATACTATCCATTGAAGAAATTTTAGAGATTTAGATTCGTTGGTTTTTATTTATTTTTCTTATTTTCTTTGATTATGAACTTAGTGGTTTAATTCTCTATTTGTTTTACGAAGACTTTGCTAATTATAAGTGTAACTGCTCTTACATTACTACGTCACTATTGATGAATTCACATTTTAGTTTTTAACAGCTTTATAAGAGTCTTTTTAATTTAAATAAAACCCGTGTACAAACTTTTGAAGTTTTGTTATTTCTGTTTTGTAAATTTTTTTTACTGAACACTGAATAATTATAGTTCTATGTTTGATCTCAGCTTGTATTGTTTTTTTAACAAAATTAATAAAATATATACACAAAAATAAAACAAAATATTATTAGTGTAATTATATATTAAATACTGTTATAGATATGACAATATTATGACTAGAGTACAAGGTGAACTGCATTAGAAACGAGGGGTTTGTTTTTTAACTATCCCTCGGAACACCTTACGAGATCATTGCAGAGGTTTCTATAAATAGATATTAGAATAGATATGATACAATAATATTAGTACTTTTTCCAAATACAGTTCACCATTATTAGGTATATAAATAAATATAAAATAAAGACATCTAAAGCACACTTTACAAAAAGGGAAGTAATCTTTTATAGGTAATTGTATTGAAAATGCACGTATCACGTTTGCAAGAGGTGTCTCATAAAAATGTCTTACTTGAGTTTATGAAGCACAGTAGCAGTTTTATTTCGCTTTATATTAAATTTAAATATTTTAAGTTATTCATAATAGAAAAATAATATTTGGACGTTCATTAATTTATTAAACCTTAAAAGCGCTTCACTTCATACTAAATAATCGACTAAAATTAAAGACGAATTATACAAACGTAGAAGTTACCAAGATCAAATTTTAATTAGATTGTATTTATGATATGAATATACAGTGCAGTATTTCGCAATTTTTAAATTATATGATAATACATACATCCATTTCTAATAAATTTATTGTACATATACTAAATTGAATTGGCTTCAACCTAGAAAAAATATTTTTTCTAGCACGATGTTAATTCAAATTAAGTTGAGAATCGTTCAATTATATGGATTAAATGGATATTACATAAGGTAATTGATGTTTCAAAGTAGTTTTGAAACAAGTAATTTAAAATGGGGACATTTTATGAAACATCCTTGTTCGCTTAGAGGTTTTTGAGGTATTGTTTACAACTTTTATCATGCTTTATGTATTAGTATCAAACTATTAAAAAAAAAAAAGAATGAAGCGGTAACTAGTTTTACTCCTTGGTCGAATACTTAGTCAGACTTGTCAAAAGTGAGCATTTTTGGTTAATTTTATACTACCATATAAAAACTGGGGAAATACGAAAACCCTAAGCTTATTATTATCATATATAAAAAACACACATATTTATATTAGTTTAAAAAGGGAGGATAGAAAGATGATGCGATATGCTCCCAATATTTTTGTAACCCACGATAAAAAAGGAATGTATTTTAAATGCATCAAAAAATTAATTTTGTAATACCTATTTTCTATATTTACTGTAACATTTTTAGATAATATTAAATAAAAATTGGGAAAGCTGCTAACATGGGAGCATGTTGTAATGATCATGAAAACACATTAGTACAAACTTTAACAATTACCGATAACGTCTAAGTCACGTTTCATTCCTCTTCCTCCCATTCTTTTTCGTCTACACCTTCCATATCATCTTGTTCTAATTTCATGTTGATTTCAATTCGGTCGCAAATTGACTGTTGAATCTGTTATAACAAAATCATTCACATAAGCATTATTTTTTATTGTAATTGCCTGCAGGTTTTCAATTCAATTTTGTTAAAATATTCAGTTGATTTGCAATTTGTGCATTAATATTATTCGATATCTATAAGGACATAAAGATTCATTCTCATTTACACCGAAGATGAGAGCCTTTTCTGTCACATCAAACATATTTACGCAAAATATCTATAAAAAATACGCGCAATTTTTAACTTTTTCGATATATTCGCTGGTCTAGTTAATTTAAATCTGATTTCTCGAACATTCATTAATTAAACTAAGTTTTTCATACCTTCGCTTGTTTGCTTTTTATTTCTGCTTTGTCCATATTCCAGAGAGCATTAGAGAAACTACTTTGAGTCGTTGTCATTTTTGCAGCAGGTTTATGATCCTGAGTTTCTTGGACAACTGAATCGGATACTAGAAAAAAATGAAATACATATTTTATCAAACTGAAAAACTTTTGGCGGAAAATTGTTTTACATTGTTCCATTCCTTCTGGTTTAAGACTAATGTATTGGGGAGGAGTATTTTTTCCATTAAACCATTCAGCGCCCGTTAGTGCAGGTTTCCAACTTACTTTTGTTGATGGGAAAAGATCATCTTGGAACAAATCAGTCTGTTAAAAACAAAAAAGAAATAATTAACGTAATACTTTCTCGATGTTGTAATGTCAAAAGTAAACTAACTTTAATTCTTGGCACAGTAAACGACAAAGGTTCTATAGTGTTATTGGTTAGACGAAATGCTTTGGCAAATTCGACTTTGGCGACGTCACAGCAGTTTTTAGGGAGAAATGAAAGTCCTTGATGCAGAGAGGGACATCTGTGATGGCTCAAGGGACAAATATATGGGGCCTCCTCAGTGATTTCGAATGCATAAACGGTCGAATCTCCCTAAAAATAAACATTTAAAATAGTGGTTACTTTTAGCTATCAAGGGTATATTCTCGAAAAATATTTTAAAGAACTCGCTAATGCATTTATAGCTTCGTCAAATTTAAATTTACTGACTGAAAGCACATTTGATTATTTAGTATAAAAATTTATAAAAAGAATAGTTTACCTTTCCGGTTACGAACAGTGTTGAACTATCTTCATCATAGAATGGTATTAAGATAGATGGCGATACATCTAATGTCATCGTATTTAACGGAGCACTCAAATTATCACTTTGAAAAACCATTATTTGTCTGACGGATACCTTGTCGAATCCCATAACAACAAGGAATCGACCATTTAAAGCCCACGTTAATCTTCCGCCACGAGTGCCCACCGGTCCTTTCCCTTCCCTAATTGGCTGATTATTTTGCCTTGGTTCAAATATCCTCAGTAGTCCGTCTTTACTAAAAGTAGCACAGAATTTTCCACACGGAGACCAAGCAAACGCTGAAATTTGCTCGGTATGTCCCAACAGTACTATTTTAGCGTCGAGGTCAGACAAGTGCCATATTTTGATAGTCAAGTCATACGCTCCGGTGGCGAGAACGTTTTTTGCAAGTGGATGAAATTTGACAAAGTATATTCTATCAGAATGTGCGCAAAATTCAATTTCAGGTTCGTTGATTTGTTCTTTTAAACCATCGTCCGGTATTTTCCATAGCTTAACGGTGCCATCACCACACGCAACTGCAAGTCGTTGATCGTCGAACGGATCCCAACAAAAATCGGTAACATTCTGGCCGTGAACAAGAGCAGGAATGACTCCATCCGGGAGGCGACCAGTACGTTTAAGCTCAAAAATTGCAATCTTGCCCCCTGGACCACTTAAAGGTACAGCAACTCTTGTAGGATTGGCTATATAGAAATGAAAACAGATATATTTTGAGGAACGTAAATTCACCTCATATAATATAATGTGAATTAATAATAACTAATAATTTGCCAATTAATTTTGACAATTGAGAATTATGTTCCACAGTGAGTGCATAAATTTATGCAGTTTTAGGCGAGTACAAGTTATAAACGCCATCAACCCTACCAATACTCCACGCATTTTAAATACATATAATACAATCTTCCTATGGTTAGTGAAAGCTTTACCTTATGTGTATACGAAATACCTAGTATCGAATTACTTACCATGGAAACCATCTGATTCGCCAGGTATTTGTCTACTTAGGTTACGAACATTTTCAATATGTTGACTTTTGTGCAGGGCAGTACCTTTCAAATGACGAAATTTTGAAACTCGTCCTAAAAAATGAAACTTCCAATTTTAATTATAAACACATTTTTAAAGTTCTTTTAATACCAATCTGTCTATTCAAATTAATATTACAATTATATAAAATAATAATAATTACCGAAAACTGTAGATGTTCTTTTTGGAGGTGTGGTTGTGACAGTTTCCCCTTTTTTCTGTTGTGCCGTATCTTTTATATCACTTTGTCTTCCACTCTTAAAAGCTTCTGTATGTTTGTGAAGAGGAGATTTAGGTAGTTTATCTGAAGTCTCTTGTACTGAAAGAGATCGATTTTCGTACATTTTTCTTCGTTCAGCGATACTTCTACGTTCTGAAGAAGACCGTTCAAAACTATCTTCTTCATCATAGTCGTCGTCAACTACTGCAGACATCGACTGACTTAATGGTAAATTTCCTCCTTCTCGGTTCCGTTTGAAATCTTCATTTTTTTCATTATTAGCGTCTTTGCTACATTGTTTTACTTCTTCAACTTGGGATGGTTTAGAAGAAGACTTTTTTTGTACACTATCATGTTCAATCTGTTTGTCTACTTCATAGGGTTCTTGTAATACATCGGAATTGTTTTCGTGAATGTCGTTGTCGTTGCTTTCACCGGCGTGCTGTGAACTATCAAACTTTTCGTGGGAAATGAAAGTAGTTTGTGTTTGGTATAAACCGTTTTGTTGTTTTCTTCCTGGAGCAGTTGGGACAGAAAAAACTTTGTCAAAAGTTTCAGTTTCTCTCATGTTGAATGGAGTAAATGGTTTAGGACCAAGTAATGGCTGTGAAAAAATTACAATCCTTAGTTCTAATGTACTGCATTATAATATTAAGAATTTCTTCATTGAAATTCTTGCAGTTCATAATTTAACAATATAGAAAAAAACAAAATCTACAATAAAAGTGAACTATAAAGAAAGTGCTTTTGTATTAATTGTAAGTATTAAACTACAACATATAGTTTAGTACTCTTGACTTAACCGTTTTTGGTTATATAAATTAAAGGATAAGTTCATCAGCACATATATATTTGTAGCAATAATAGAAATATTAACATTTCTTTAAAAAAGATATTTATTCAAACACATGCACAAATGAAACTATTTTAGTTATATTTTTTTGCCTTTTTCCTATGACCGAAGGCACTTTTTAATTCATAATTTGTGTGATGTACATAATTATTTGTAAATCATCAATGTAATTAATTGTAAGATATATCCAACCAATTTTATTTTATAACAAATATATAATGAATTGAAATATGCATAAAGGCGAAAAATAATACCGAAAATTAAATAGTGTAACGTTGTATCTAGTTGATTAGTATTTTATAATATCAAGAAATATAATAAACATTTCAATAATCTAAAGTTGCCCCAATAGATGAAACAAGGAAATATCTTTTTGCCCGCTTTAAAAATAAAGCTAGCTCTACGTATGCAGACAGATGTGACTGTTTTAACGCAAGCAACAAAATCTACAAAAGAATCACACCGACTACAAACTGAAGTAGCAAGCAAATCGGCAGTTAAGTGCACCTTGTATGATCCGGGGGTGTTATTAGAACCAACAGTGTTTGGGGCAGGTGTGAAGCTATTGGTTCGTGGGCGTGCTACCGGTTTACCGGCCACCACTTCTTCGCAAGTTGAATATGTTCGTGAGGTTCTCGGTTTTGGTTTCGGAAAAATCGCCTTGGCGTCTCCGTTTTCGTGAGGAGAAAATTCTTCATCCATTTTTCCATTTGTCGTAGAATTAGACTCTTGTTTCTCGTTTTTCTCTTTGACGTTCTCTTCGTTTGGCTTGTTTATCTTTGGTTTAAAATCGCCTTCTTCATTGGGTTTAAATAATTTGGGACTTTTGGTAATTGTATTTTTTTCTTCGCTTCCTATTTCCTTTGGTTTATCTGTCTTTGGTTGGATCTCTTTCTTTGTGGGTAGCTTGTCAGGTGATTTCATTTCATTTTTGATGTTTTGTTCCGAAAGTATGCCGTTTGTATTAGTTTTAGGGGCAATAAATTTATCAGCTAAATGCTTAACACCCTGATGAGTTGAATTTTCTTTTTTGGACACAATTTTGTTATCCAATTTTACACTTGTAGTTTTCTTGTTTGTTAACTCTTTCAATGAAGAGAACGATTCTTTGGTGACCTAATTGAATTTTAAATGTTCACAACAGAGACATTAAAAATAATGCTCCCCACATATGAACGAATTCTCCCCAAATATGAACGAATTTTTTATTCTTTTGCAAAAAATGCACCATAAGTAATTGCATAATTGCATTACAATAAAATCACTTTGATGTTACAAATATCTTAAATAACTTGTTTTATTAAATTAGGGATAAACTGAAAAATTTTGATACAAATTGTGGATGTCGCAATGAGCAAATATATTTTTATTTCATACTAAAATAATCTAATATTAAAGAAAATGCAAAAAACTTTAGCAACCATTATAAAAGTTTAAATTTTATTTTCCTCGGCACTAAAATTAAGATTTGGATGGTGGTGCTGTTTTTAAAGATAAACTTAAATTGTATGAATTACTGGTAAACTAATTGCCTCAATAATTCTCTATTTGGCAAATATATACAATAACCCTGTCATTTCTTCTATATGGCAATGCCCTTTTCATAAGTATAGAAAAGATTTTTATGATTAAGTGACATGGTAATTTTGAGTAAACTTATTACTTGTTCATAACGTAATAAACAGGACTTACAGATTTACCTAATTTTGGTAATGAGTTTTGTCAAAAATAAATGCCATATTTGTGCAAGGAAGTTGTTTGTAAATTAATATTTAAATAAAAAAAGAGACTAACTCCAATTTACTATTACCGCTTTTTTTCAATTTTGTAATTAATTTTTAAATCACTTACCATATTAGTTTCTTCTTCTTGTCGAACACTGGGGTCCAAGTTAATTTTTGGAACAGGTATATCTTCTCCTTGTAGCCACATATCTGGTACTAGGTCTGTTTTGCATCCAGGAGTGTCAGGATACAAATCACCATGAAAATCTCTGCAAATCAATTTGTAAATATTTATCATATATCATATATATTCCTAGTTTGTCAACCTGTATGATTTTCTTGGAACTTGATAAGTTACAGGTATCACAGCATTTCCAGTAAGTTGGAGTATTCTATTTACTTCACATTGCATTATATTTAGTGCACGTTTTGGTACAAGGCAGGCGCCCTTTGTTTGCTCTCCACTGTGCCTTAATCCTTCTAGAAGAAAAGGCTCTTTATCTGCAACTTCCATGTAGGATATGGTAGCATCTCCTGAAAAGTACAATATGTATTTATTATTTCAAAGAATTTTAATTTAACTTGGTTTTTAATTGACTAACCTTTGCCTGCCAAAAAGAGCATATTTGTGTCAGAATCAAAGAGTGGCATGAGAATACCTGTGGAACAATCTAGTTCTAATGTTTTTAGGGGATTTTCAAAATTTCTTGTGTCTCTTAATATGACTTGTCTCAGGTGTGCAGCATTGAAACCAGTTGTCAAAACTTTATCTTGATCTCCTAGCCAAACAATCCTTGAATCCTTTATATTTTGGTGACTGCTAGCAATACTAACACAACTTTTTTCACTTCTTGGATCAAGAATTCTTACATGTTTATCTTTACATGAAGTTGCCACCAATTTTCCATTCCTTTTCCAACTTACACTTTGTATTACATCAGAATGATCAGAGGTTGAAAATACTTCCTTCTGACTTATAAGATCCCACAATGAAAACGTTGAATATGATGTGGAATGTATTAAATAATCAGAAGTAGGATGAAAGCTTATGGTTTCAACTCTTCTCTGTTTGTGCGAAAATTGGCATTCAGGATTACAAAGAGATTCCTTTAGACCTCCTTCTGGAATGATCCAAATCTTAACTAAACAGTCTTGTGATGCTGTGGCCAATAGATTGTCATGGAATGGTGAGAAATGCATATCTGTTACTGTGTCTGAGTGTGCATTTAATAATGGCATAAGTTTACTTTTGCGCCCAGAATCATTTATTGGAAATACAGCTAGACTAGATCCTGCATAGTCCCAATTGAAAGCCATAAACTGGGCTGAGGCGGTAATGTTATTTCCATATGTCTGATATGAACCAACACAAATATCTCGCACATAAGCTTCCGGTTTTGGTACAATGGGAGCAGCATTTTTATATTTGGATGCTTTAAACCTCCAAGCCATTTTACTTTCAAAGTTGTAAATTACACACCAATTTCCCAAGGGTAAGTAGTCTTGCTTTAAATATCTTGCACACAGCTAAATTTTTGGTGATTTGCTACAGACTATTTCAAGATTTTATTAACTCTTATTTAACACTTACTTGAAAAAAGAACTTTCTAATTTATGTAGCAGCGTAATCAACAGGAACGAGCTGATGAAAAGTTTGAGCCGATTGAAACCAAAATCATTAGTTTTTTACATTGAAATGCTTCTTTTACTGAATTTTAAAATGAAAACACAAGTTAATGCCACACACCCACATTTTATAATGTTTTCTTGTTGTAGTTTTGTCTGTCAAAACACCAAAAATTTATCATTTTTTGACTCATCAACTATTGAATGCCAAGGTTGAGAACCATTGAAATACCTATAAGCAAGTTCACTTGAAAATACAGCACTGATCACATCTATATCATCATGTCCTAATTTTATTAATATAACACAAATAAAAGTAAAATTAATTTCAAAACAAATATATTTAATAGGTAACATGGATATTAATCAACGGAGTCTTAAATTATGAGTATCTGATTGACCGCATTTCACTTCACATTCATGGTATATGTTGGGTTGCATATTTTATAATAAAATAATTTATTTTCTATTAAAATTGTCTAAAAATGATTAGATTGATTTATCACCTCCAAAAGCATCCATATTCGAAATTAAATTGGATTTGCTAAAGCCATTTTTGAGAACACGATTACATTATTTCTATAAAATACAAATGTTACTTGTTTAATATTAGTAGGTAAATGATAAATCGAGAATTTTCCAAAAATTTAATTACTAAGCCAATTTTCCAAATATTTACAATTTAGTTCTTTTTTTTATTAGAAAAATTATAGCTTAGGGGTCAAATATACGCTTGTATCCGTACATTGAAAATATCTGCAAAAAATGTAGGGAGATAAAATTGTAGTAGTGTTTTGAGGGATTTCCCACAACATGGGACGAACAAGAATGAATTTATTGTATTTTAAAATAAATATTAATCTGTCTTAAATATGTGCATACATTAATCGTATATATCTTGATAAAGTAATGATTGGTAAGCCATATGTGATTATGGTTTTTTTTTTGGTAATACGTCAAGCTGAAATGACTTGAAAATTTAACGTGAAATAAAAGTTAACAAAATACGAAAATTATACAAAAAGAGTGATGAAAAAATAAATCACAGGCAAAAATATATATTTCACGGATTCCATGAAGAACTCACATTCATCCGACCTCAAACAACGATTTTCATCGAAGAAATTTAAGTATACGGTGACTCCATCTTAAATAAGCGCATTTACCAAAATAAAACGGAATAAAAATGGCAAAATACCGTATTATTATGGTTCGCCATGGTGAGTCGAAGTGGAACGGTAATAACCATTGGTATGACGTAAATTTGAATACAGAGGATATTCAACAAGCTATGGTGATTGGAAGATTTCTAAAAGAGTCTGGCACCAAATTGGATTTAGCTTTCAGTTCGGCTTCTACTAAAGCTCAAAAAACTTTAGACGTCATATTAAAGGAACTGGGACAAAGAAATGTACCAAAAATAAAAAGTTGGCATCTCCATGCCTTGCCTTTTTGGGACGACGTCGCAGGTCCAGAGATAAAAGCTGGCAAATCGATTATTATCGTTGCAAATGATAACAGTTTACGTGGCATAAGGAAATATTTGGACCAGCTTTCTAGTGAACAAAACAGAAATTCAAACGTACCAATAGCAGCACCGCTCGTGTATATTTTGGATGAAAATTTGAGGCCCGTTGAAAACAAGTGCTTCCATATTTTCGACGATTTAGACAAAGAAAATTTTCCACTCGATAATGTCCTTGAGAAAAGAACTTATTTTAAGTTGGGCACATGCAAGGAGTAAAAAAAGTTCTTTTAGGCAACACACAATATACATTTAAATGTAAACAATACTTTATTGATAAGAGATATACTTCTATTTAAAAATAAATTCATGTAAAAGAAAACTAAGTAGTGTTTTCTTAACCGCAGAGGCGTAAACAGAGGGTGGCCTTTGATTTTTAAATCATTATTTTATCATATGATAATACGCTAATATCTAAGTTTCTAACGTAGATAAGTTTATAATAAATTCGGTGTGACATATTACAATAATCTACAATTTAAACGCCCAATTTAAAGATGGAACTAACTGACGCGCTCATTTTCAACATCAAGAATGCTGACTTTTAAATGTTTAAATAAAAATTAAAATAAAAATTTTTCTGATTGTATACGTACTGTTTAACATCGATAACGGAATACATCTGTCCAACGGTCTAAATTTTAGATGTGATCAGGTAGTGACCGTATAATTTTTACCATTTTAATTGGTAGGTATTTTTAGGCGCATACTGTTGAACTGTATAACATTCATTAGACGTTTATATGAAACGAAAAGAGACATCGATTTCAAATTTGATATTTTCTAACAAGTCAAAAGGATTTATTTAATTAATAAGTAAAAATGTTTTCGAAGCAATGGCATTTTCCGTCCCCTCGTTATTTTAAAAAGAATGACCCAGTCTCCATGTACTTTCTCCAATAAGTGCGTATTAGATTCGATAGTAACTTTAATAAAAGAGTGATATAATACTCCTAATTTAAAGCTGATATTTTTTAAATTACAATTACTTGTAATCTCGGGAACCACAGAAGAGTTACAAGTTTCAGTTTTTTTCGTGACAGTAGAGACTAAAAGCTCAAGGGTCCTTTTCGTGTTTCCTTTTTGTAAATTTTGCAACTTACAATCGCATACTCACTTAATGATTAACATCATATTATGGACCTCAAAAAGTACCTACTTTTTTTTTAAAACGGTTACTACAAACTCATATTTGTTTAACTACGCTAAAAAAGGCGACTTTCTAATAAGACAAGGGTTAAAAAATTTCGTTTAATTAATGGAAATCACCATAGCAATCTTCTAAAATGCTGTGAATAAAATATTGTATTTGTTGAGGAGCTTAGGTCGCTTGACAGAAACTTTAATTATGAATAAAGTTTAAGCATTAACAGTATTCTTACAAATTTCTGTACATGTACCTGTTTATTGCAATTTCGTTTACAAGTTTACATAGTTCGGCTTTGTAAACAGAAATTCTGAAACTGTGAATTTGTTTTGACTTCTACAACTAACTGTTTTTGTAATACTACAGATTGAAATCCTTTAACTGCATTTGCGAAATTTTGAATACATCTATTTTTGTGGTGCTATGATGACGACTTAATAAACAGAAATCCTAAAACTGACTGTTTTGAATTCTACAACTACCTACTTTTATGATATTACAGATGATGACTTCGTAAACAGAAATCTTGAAACCATGAATTTGCTAAACTTGGCTTTCTACAACTCTCTATATTTGTGATACTATAGATGACGACTTAGTAAACGGAAATCTTGAAACTGTGAATTTGTTTTGAATTGTGCAACTGCCTGCTCTTATGATACTACAGATTGACGACTTTAAAAGACAGAAGTCCTGAAACTTTATTTGTTTTGAATTCTACAACTACCTACTTTTATGATATTACAGATGACGACTTAGTAAACGGAAACCTTGAAACCATGAATTTGCTAAACCTGGCTTTCTACAACTCTCTATATTTGTGATACTATAGATGACGACTTAGTAAACTGAAATCTTGAAATTGAGAATTTGTTTTGAATTATGCAGCTGCCTACTGTTGTAATTCTACAGATTTACGACTTTAAAAAATAGAAATCCTGAAACTGAATTAGCTAAATTTTGAATTTAACAACCACCTATTTTTGTGATATTATAGATGACGACTTAGTAAACGGATATCTTGAAACCATGAATTTGCTAAACTTGGCTTTCTACAACTCTCTATATTTGTGATACTATANAAATATACAATTATACAATACACAATGTCATATTGTGGGAAAATTGTGAGTGATAAAAAAAACTAATATCGAATACGATTTCAGCACTCAAAAATACATAAGATTTAGGTAAATTAGTTTAAAAAGATTATACAAACATTTTTTTTGTTGGCCTGTGTAATTAAACTTAATTTCAAGTTCCTCCTTTTGTCCGATGACAATATGTATTATTCCTAATATTGCAGTACTTAAAGGCGAACCGTTCTACCGCTAGTCGTGAAAAACGTAATAAATAATGGTAAATAATCGTCGCGTACAATTCGATGTTCTGCGTGTCATACACCAACGAAGAGACGCCCATGTCCTGACAGAAAAATAATTGCAGCACAAAATTAACTTTAGGCGGAAACATCGTCTGACATCGGTCGTTTTCGTGCTTCCCTCGCCTTTGATTACTTTGGAGAACGTTGGAATTTCACGTTGAAACAAAAATTAGAAATAGACCGAGCGGCATGGCCTAGAGGTTTAGACCATTGTTTGGCATTCGGGAGGACATTGGTTCGATTCCGGGTCCGTCTGCCTTGGTCCAAGTTTTTCTGTGGTTTCCTTTGATCACTTAGGCAAATGCTGGGGCAGTAATATTCCACAGATAATCTTTCATTCCCTTCTGTCTTCATTTCGTCCGTCACATCTTTCTCACCCGAACGACCACCCACCCATTCTCACAATTCCTGAAAGGAGACTGAAGAGGCCCTACCTTCTGGCGTAGTCCGAAGGGACTGCCCGCCCACCAGAAATAGTGGCAGGTGGGAATGAAACACCTAAACGTTTTTTAGTTTGTTTTTTTGACCTAGCTGTTTAGAGCATTGCCAAGTATTCGGGAGGATACCGGTTCAATTCCGCGCCCCTCTGTCCTGATATAAATTTTTCTGTGGTTTCGTTGGATCACTTAGGAAAATGCTGGGGCAGTAATATTCCACAGATAATCTTTCATTCCCTTGTGTCTTCATTTCGTCCGTCTCATCTTTCTCACCCGAACGACCACCCACCCATTCCCATGATTTCTGAAAGGAGATTGAAGAGGGCCTTCCGCCCTTCCTCCCGGATAGTCCAGAGGGACTACACACCTAGCCGAATTAGTGATTGGTAGGAATGAAACAACCAAAAATTTTTTAGTTTTTTTTTTGGCCTAGGGGTTAGACCATTGTCAAGCATTCGAGAGGATACCGATTCAATTTCGCGTCCGTCTGTCCTGGTGCAAGTTTTTCTGTGGTTTCGTTAAGCTAATGCTGGGGTAGTAATATTCCACAGATAATCTTTTACATTCTTCTGTCTTCATTTCGTCCGTTTCATTTTTCCACCCATTCCCAGATTTCTAAACGGAGGCGGAAGAGGACCTTCTGCGCTAGGTTCCGGGAGAAACTATATTGATAGCTGATGTGATTGAAATAAAAGGAG